CCAACAACATGCAGTTAGTGGGGTTAGGTTAGTTGATGACTCTAAATTCTCTCTCTGTGTTAGCCCTGCAAGAACGGGGACCTGCTGAAGGTGTACCCTGAGCCTTGTCCTACGGCAGCTGGGATAGGCTCCAGTCCCACTGCAACCCTGAATTTGTAAGTGGAGGAGGATGTAATAAGTCAAATAAAAGACACAAAACATCAAAAAGAAATCTTTTCAACATATGGATGTTTCTGTGGAGGTGCTGGGGGGGCCAGTTAGAGACCAGCAGCTGGACATCAGTGGTTGGATTGGTGGACTACTTCAGTGAAGAGTAGATGACGTCTGGCTCTGGTTTACAGTCTGAACACAAACACACACAGTTATTAAAAACAAACAAACAAACAAAACAACAGGAAACATGATTACAAGATTTGTAGGTCAATCAAGCCCTCCAGTCTCCACCTCTCTGCATCACACACAGTCCCAGTTCAGACTTCAAAGGGAACCAGCTCAGACACAGCCAGCTTCTTCTTTCTCACTCCACCCTAAGATTAACAGGCCGAGCAGATCACAAACAGCAGCACTAAAAAAAGAAAATTAAAAAAACAAGTCTTCGCCACCATTTTATGCGCTACCCAGAGTCAAGGATTTTTTTTTTGACCAGCCAATTAAAGTGAATTATACTTATCTATTCTTATCATTGCATTAGCTTAATCTAAGCATTCGGTTAGATGAAGTGACAGGTTGCATAAACCGCAGCAGATGTTTAGAGTTCTCTTCTCAAAGCATCTCTACTGTAAAACAACAAATGACCAGAAAGAGCTGGGGGGTATTTTTGTGAAAAGGAAGGTGGGCGACCACAAAGCTGCCATCTTCTTTCAATGCAGACTGATGCACTTCACCACAAAGCACAAAGCAAGCAGGTTCTCACTGCATGAACACTGCTATTGGCTAAACCAGAGCGCACAGCAGAGACAATTCTCACCAGCTTCAGACTAACTGGGGTAAACAGGAAGTAGCTACTGTGGTTTTACATGCAGAACTTTAAAAATGTTCACAAAAAAGGTTGATTCATTCTATTAAAGGACAGTTTCAGAGGCTCGGCGCACTCAGTTAAGGATCTCTAGACTTTTCCGTTCATGTCGTCATACGTCTCATAGTGACAGCTCCAGGATTATAGTGAAAAAACCTCCAAAACTCATCATCATTTCCTCATCATCATCCAAATCATCAAATGTTAGCATACTGAGAAGATGGTGAACATGATGAACGTTAAACCTACTGCTAACCTTCTAACGCTAGTAGTTAGCTTCAAGGAAAATCCCACTTCCTGGGTGTTAAAACTGACCTAATACAGGAGGAACTGACTGAAACCAGTGCTGCCAGATTTAATCTCCCAGATTAAATCATCTTTGATAATGGTCCAATGTCAACTAAACACACCGTGAATGCAGAACATCATACCAGCAGTCAGACTTGGTGATGCTAGTGTGACGGTCTGGGACTGCTTTGCTGCTTAATTGGTGGAACAATGAATTATCCTCTATCAGAACATTTTGCAGGAGAAAACCATCATTTGATGTCCTGAAGCTCGAGCACACTTGGATTGTGGAGCATGACAATGATCCAAACTCGCAGCAGCAATTCCATCTCTCAATAGACAAAATAAAGAAAGATATTATGGGGGTGGCATAGTCATAATTTATTTTAATTATATTTAGGATGCTTTGGCATAACGTTAGAGACCATACATACTGGTAAACCCTGAAGTGTGGCTGAAATTAAAAATATATATTCAGCATTTTTTCACAGGGCCAGTTAGGCTTGGATGGCTTTTTTCCTGTATATTAAATGAACTCATGATTTTAAAAATGTTTGGTTATTAGCCTTTTATCAGTATTGGTTTCATTTAAATGAGTATGGTAGAACTGTGTAGTGTTTTGCAAATAAGCAAACAGCTTTAAACTCAGTGCAGCTCATCAGTCTCATGGTCTGTATCAGAAAAATGTTAAACTCAATCTTCCCAATCAAATAACATTTAATGATCATAATCAGCAAGATGAATGTATGTGGTCAACCTGTCAAGATGTCAAAAGCATTACCTTTATCAAAGATAATTTCAGAATTTAAGTGTACAATATGGGTGGTGATTTGCAATGAAAGGGGGAAATTTTTACAGTGAGGAGTTTTTATAAGTAACTTTTAATGAGTAATCCTCCATTTTTCTTTATCACTACAAAATCTGATTAAACATAATTGTAAAATGTCAAAAGAAAAACTAACAATTCTCTGTTAATGAGATCAAATGACTGAAAGCAGACACGTTAGCCGCAACCAAACCAGAACAAGTCAAACTTTGCATCTGATATTTTTGTGAATTCCACCACGTGATCACGTAACCACGTGAGAAACACACATAAAACCAAATGTATGTTTGTTGTGCAAAGAAACAAAATCACTGCTGAGGAAACATGAGTCAACAGGCATAAATACAAAGAAGAGTGTTACTGGAAACATAAACACATTTCCACAGTATTTCCCTGCTCTTAAAGTCAAATTAATCAGGGATTGGACTGGCAGGACCTCTGGCCCTGATGTGAGTGATAGACCCAGCGGAGGGCAGGCCCGTGTATTTCTTTCAGACCATGTGTTGCTGGGCCCTATGGGCTAAGCCCCAGTTCCCCCACGAGCACCTCTCTCCTTGGCTCCAGGATAGGAGTGACCCCAAGGGGTGTTTTGTTGTTGGACCACAGTCTCTCCACTTAGGTAAAAGAGGAACAGAGCTGTCAAGTGATCACTACCTGATGCTAAGTTGGATCAGGTAGTGGGGAGGATGCTGGACAAACCAGGCACACCCAAATCTCAAGGGTAAGTATTGGTTGTGTCTGACAGATGGCCCAATTCACGAGCTCTTTAATTCCCATCTCCAGCAGAACTTCAGCAGCACTCTGAAGGAGGCTTGGGATATTGAGTCTGAATGGACGATGTTCCACACCTTCATAGCTGAAACTGCTTTATAGAGCTGCAGCTGCAAGGCTATAGGTACCTGTTATGGAAGTGACCCCCAAAACAGATGGTAAACTCACAAGCCATGAAGTTGAAGTCCTATAAAGCTTAGCTGGTTTATGTGACTCTGGAGTGAGATGACAAGTCCCAACAGGCCTAGTAGTGTGAAGTAAAAACTCCAGTGTGGGAGGACTCAGTGAGACAATGGAGCAAAACGGTCAATCGGCCTTGAAGCAGTTCTGACAAAACATTAAGTGACTCAGTAAATCCAGTGTGGATGGAGCGCTGCTGACCTCGACTGAAGATGTAGACATGCAATGGAAATATTACCTCATTCATCTGTTGCTACAGGCCGATCAGTCCCTGCACAACCATAGCAAGATCCTGGTTTGCATTTCTTTTAGTAAATCTTATTTGTTGTTGATGATGATGTTGATGATAACATGTTCCAACTGGAATATATAATCATCAGAACTGGAAACAGGAATCTGCACTTCATCACTGATTCTCTTCCTAACATTTATGGATAAAACATCTGGGTGCAGCTAAGTGGTGGAGTGTTTCTGCTTTGGTGGCCTTGGTATGACCTCTCTATTATGATGTGGTTCTTCTGGCCTCATCTGTGCGTAACCTCCAGTGTGCATTAGAGGGATTTGCAGCTCAGTGTGAAGTAGCTGCAGTCCTTCTTTTTAACAATGCACCAGACTTGACTTCTTGATCTGGCCATTTGGTGATTACAGTATTTTTTTGTTTGTATTTTTATGTTATGTCCATGATAGTCTTACTTTAGTTTTTTTTTTTAGACCGTGATGGTAGCATTGCTGTCTTTAGAGTTCAAATTAAAATTGCATTCATATTGAATTCAGTTGGACACATCTTCAGATCTTTTATCACCTTAATTTATTGCCTTAAATTGTATAAATGAATAGCAATGTATAAGTACCAGTTCAAAGGTACAGAGCAGCTTTACCTTTTTTCCTCTTTGGTCTGAAGGCTATTTGTCCGCAATTGATGTCTTCCGTTCTCACTCCTGAGTACACTATAGCTGGATCGTTCTCTGCAGAGTAAAATACATATACATTTCTGCAGGTAGAACAGCTGCAATAGTACTGTTATATTATTTCAGCATACTTTATACAGGGAGTGCAGAATTATTAGGCAAATGAGTATTTTGTCCACATCATCCTCTTCATGCATGTTGTCTTACTCCAAGCTGTATAGGCTCGAAAGCCTACTACCAATTAACCCTAGAACACTATCGCTGGGTGATTTACACCCGAGAAAATACATTTACATGATTTCTCACTCCTGCAGCTGTTTGCATGTCGAGGAGCCTGTGCCATCACCAGGGAAGTCTCAAATGTCCCAGGAATGGGTGGACCAAAGACCAGCTTTCCAGAGTCATTATTTTGTTTTAGGAGTTTTATTTTTCATTTTGTTAGACATGGCACAGTTGAAAGTAAAAGAAGACCACTCTAATTTGTCATGTGTTGTCATATTTTGATATATTTGATTACTTTTCATTGGTTATATTATATCGGGTATAAATCACCCGGCATTAGTGATCGTGTTACTATTTATAGCGATAGTGTTCTAGGGTTAAGCATATTAGGTGATGTGCATCTCTGTAATGAGAAGGGGTGCGGTCTAATGACATCAACACCCTATATCAGGTGTGCATAATTATTAGGCAACGTCCTTTCCTTTGGCAAAATGGGTCAAAAGAAGGACTTGACAGGCTCAGAAAAGTGAAAAATAGTGAGATATCTTGCAGAGGGATGCAGCAGTCTCAAAATTGCAAAGCTTCTGAAGCGTGATCATCGAACAATCAAGTGTTTCATTCAAAATAGTCAACAGGGTCGCAAGAAGCGTGTGGAAAAACCAAGGCGCAAAATAACTGCCCATGAACTGAGAAAAGTCAAGCGTGCAGCTGCCAAGATGCCACTTGCCACCAGTTTGGCCATATTTCAGAGCTGCAACATCACTGGAGTGCCCAAAAGCACAAGGTGTGCAATACTCAGAGACATGGCCAAGGTAAGAAAGGCTGAAAGACGACCACCACTGAACAAGACACACAAGCTGAAACGTCAAGACTGGGCCAAGAAATATCTCAAGACTGGTTTTTCTAAGGTTTTATGGACTGATGAAATGAGAGTGAGTCTTGATGGGCCAGATGGATGGGCCCGTGGCTGGATTGGTAAAGGGCAGAGAGCTCCAGTCCGACTCAGACGCCAGCAAGGTGGAGGTGGAGTACTGGTTTGGGCTGGTATCATCAAAGATGAGCTTGTGGGGCCTTTTCGGGTTGAGGATGGAGTCAAGCTCAACTCCCAGTCCTACTGCCAGTTTCTGGAAGACACCTTCTTCAAGCAGTGGTACAGGAAGAAGGCTGCATCCTTCAAGAAAAACATGATTTCCATGCAGGACAATGCTCCATCACACGTGTCCAAGTACTCCACAGTGTGGCTGGCAAGAAAGGGTATAAAAGAAGAAAAACTAATGACATGGCCACCTTGTTCACCTGATCTGAACCCCATTGAGAACCTGTGGTCCATCATCAAATGTGAGATTTACAAGGAGGGAAAACAGTACACCTCTCTGAACAGTGTCTGGGAGGCTGTGGTTGCTGCTGCACGCAATGTTGATGGTGAACAGATCAAAACACTGACAGAATCCATGGATGGCAGGCTTTTGAGTGTCCTTGCAAAGAAAGGTGGCTATATTGGTCGCTGATTTGTTTTTGTTTTGTTTTTGAATGTCAGAAATGTATATTTGTGAATGTGGAGATGTTATATTGGTTTCACTGGTAAAAATAAATAATTGAAATGGGTATATATTTGTTTTTTGTTAAGTTGCCTAATAATTATGCACAGTAATAGTCACCTGCACACACAGATATCCCCCTAAAATAGCTAAAACTAAAAACAAACTAAAAACTACTTCCAAAAACATTCAGCTTTGATATTAATGAGTTTTTTGGGTTCATTGAGAACATGGTTGTTGTTCAATAATAAAATTATTCCTCAAAAATACAACTTGCCTAATAATTCTGCACTCCCTGTATTATTAGCCAAACCAGAACACACAGCAATGAGAATTTTATGAGCTTCACATCAGCTAAAGTCAATAACAGGAAGAAGCTGCTGTGGTTTTAAATGTAGGACTAGGTTAGAAAATAATTCTTTGCTTTAATGGAGAGTTTGAATGCCTCATAGTAACAGTAACATAATGAACAAAAATGTGTGTGCATCAAACCTACATAGCGAACTTATCTGGGCGTCAGTTGAGACCAAATATGGCACTAAGAATGATGAGTTACATGTGCTATGCTCATTCATCACATACACTGTCGTCAGTTTTGACTCACACACTGTCCTGGTGCCACAGCAAAAATCTAATACTCATTATTTTATGTTTGTTCCGGAAACCATAATTCAGCTGTTTTAGAAAAAAAAACATGTAAGATTATGAGGTAAGGTTTGGGTAAGGTGAGGTTACCCTAACTGAAAAATAATGTACATTTCAGAATTATGCAAAAAGGCCTTTTTTCATCGAATGCAGAATGGGTTAACAATTTAAAGCTGTTCTGCAGCAATGGAGGTTGATAAAGCCTTGGAAGCTGGTGCTACTAATCCCTACAGAAGATTTCTCAGGATGACCCCTCCATTTCCCTCACTCTAAGGGCACAGCCTTTCCAGGGGTTGAGCGTAGTATTTGATACTGGGAACGATTCTGGATGGGATAGGTGGAAGACAGCCTAAACAGCATCCTTTGAGGATATCAGGGGCTTCAGTGAGCTTGGGGAACATGACTGTGGCAACAAGCAGCTTATTAGGACCCAGGGGTAAGTAATTGTGTTTTTATGTTTATGTATGTGTTCCAACATAAAAGCAGTGTTGGAACAGATTGTTGTACCATGCCCTCGTGAGCATTAGCTGAACAATCTTGTGCTGCAGAAAGTAGTGTGTTGCTACAAAAAAGGCAATTAACAATGGAAGAGAGACAGACCATGAAAACACTTATAAATGTAGGTCTTTCCTACAGATAAATTGCTAAGAAAGTCAAGGTATCAGTGAGTACAGTTTCCTTCACCATCAAAACTCAGAAACTGGAGCTAACTCTGACAGGAAGTTTCCATAAGACTGATATTAATCAATATATGTGAGTAGACTAAGATGGTGGATATTATGAACATTACACCAGTCTGCAGCATTCTAATTTTACAATTTAGATTCAGAACTAAACTATGATGGAGACGATGAAGAGCAGCTGTACCTGACTTTTTTTGCTTGTCTTTGATGATGATCTGCCCATAAGTGATGTAGTCTGTTGTCACTGCTGGAAAGACTGCAGCTGGATCACTCTCTGCACAATGAAACACACCCAGAGGACCTCAGGGAAGGCAGTACATTTGATAGCAGAGCTTCTTGAAACTACTGTTCTAGCAGAATTCTTTATACACACACACACACACACACACACACACAAAATGCAAACATGCAAAAACAACAAAACAATTACAACACAACCAAACTTTTTGAAAATCTTTCAAAGATTTTTGGACAATGCATTCTTTTTTTTAAAATCATTTTCAATCCACTCCTTGTAGCTGACCATTTTCAGGGGATATTTTTTAAATTCAAGTATAAAATGTCTTTCTGTGTCTTTCTGGCTGACCAAATTTCCCCTTGTGGGACAATTAAAGGATTATTCTATTCTAAAAAAACAAAAAAGCACCCAACTACATAACTCAAGTGATGAACTATTGTTGTGTGGCCCTTCAGTTGATCTATTGTCAGCAGACAGATGGCTGCCAAAGACCATTCCTAAAGAAGGGTAGCAAGAGCAAAAGGCTGAGGTATGTCACAGTATGTATGGAGGACTTCTGAAGAGAGCTACAACAGTGATTGTCTACAGACATCTACAACATATGCTGGGGACTCTTTCTTTGTTCAGGCTGCATTTTAACCTTTGGTGTTTGAGATCTTGTCCAATTTTCATCCACAATGTTATATCATCTGGGAAGTGTCTGGTTGGTAACATAAATTTTCAGTATGGCAGTGATCATATACACACTGCCAATGCAGTACCGAAAAATGGTAAATGGCCTGTATTTGTATAGCGCTTTGCTTGGTCCTAAGGACCCCAAAGCACTTTACACTAGTGTAAAGTGCTATAGTGTATGCCCAAGGACACAACGACCGAGACTGTCGGAGCCGGGGGCTCAAACCAGCAACCTTCCGATTACAAGACGAACGGCCAACTGTTGAGCCACGATCGCACCTAGGTAAAGAATACACAGTAGAATACAATCGGTCATGGATTTTCCTCCCCAGAGCCTGGACCTCAACATTATTGAAGCACTGTGGGATATATCTTGACAGAGAACAGGAAAAAAGGAGATACATCCAAAGAAGAGCTTTGGATGTCCTGAAGAAATTACAAGAAATTTTGGCTAAAAGATTTCAGGCTGTGCTGAAGAATAAGGTGGTCATACCAAAAATTTACTTTCAAGATCATTAGAACTGCGCAAACTCAGTTTTTGCCCTATAAACTGTACTTTCTATTTATGTTTATACATAACTCACTGCACCTAACTACCACTTTCCTATCAAAATATAAAGCGAAATGAGAGGTAGCTTAACACTTCCTAGTGAGTACTATAGATCAGTGAACTTTACATTTATTAATCTGATTTTTTTTATTAATAACAATTAAACATTAGGCAAAGTTTTAATGACGTTTGATGTTCCTTTTTGATGTCTTGTATTATATTTCTATACACAGTCTTGTGTATTTATTGTAGCCCTGTATTTATAATATACTGTTTTCTAGTTTTATGTGAATTCATATGAAAAACTTGTTTTTCCAATATCTCAAAACTGCATATTCCATTTCAATAATAATAATAATAATAATAATAATAATAATAATAATAATAATAATAATAATAATAATAATAATAA